GGAGAGAGCCCAGAGTGAGAGTATGGGGGGGGGGGGGTGACTACAGAGACAGGAGGGAGAGAGCCCAGAGTGTGTGAGTGTGTATGTGTGGGGGGGAGTTCCTTATTACATTTCTGGGAGTTGGAAACTGAGTTGACAGGGATTAAAAAGTGAGAAGCTGCATCCTAGAATATCCGAGAGCTGAGGTTAGCAACCGGGCAGGGCCCAGGAGGAGCTGGGCTCAGACTGCAGCTGCCGTGGAAAGCAGAGGACGGGGGACATATGGGACTGAGAGCACTAATCAAGCACTGAGGGGCCACCCATAGAAACAACTGCACTACGGCCCCACCGCCCCTCCACCCTCCACCAGGTTGAAGTGAGAGAGGTGCGTTTATCCTCAGCCCACCCAGCCGGCTCTATCTATAGGAACCCGAACGCAGCTTGGGGGCTGGTATCCAGGGGGTGGGGCAGGGGGCTGGGGCCTCCCCATCTGCTGCCACAGCCCACCCGCGGCACAGCTGTCTGTCAGCCACCCTGGTTCTTCTCACATTCATTTTTCTTGAATAATACTGACCTACAGTTTTTCTTTACATGATTGGTTGGGACAGTCAAAGTGAAAACTGGCACCAACAGGAGCTTTCAGTTATTCCCCAAAGTCAAGACATTTCTCTATCAGGGGGAGACAGGACAGGGGGTGTGGGGACAAAGGGGAGGCACAGATGCAGGAATGCCACCTGCACACAAACTTTTAAAGTATGAATCACAAAGAACCACTCAGAGAATCTAAGGAACCTAAATAATGTGGTTACTTAATCTTTATTCCAAAAACGTCACCTTTCCGCAATCAGAGAGCAGCAAAGAAGAAAAATTGCGCCTTCCTCTTTTTTATTTATTTATTTTTTCCTTCCTCTCTTTTAAAAGAAAACAGAAGTGTGGCTTATACTATAAAAAATATATATGTTTGCTCATAAAAGAAGACATGCAAAAAAAATCAGAATAGCTATGCCATGGGGAGGCATTAAGTATACTTCCCATTTTTTAGAACTTCCTCTTTATAACGTATTTTCGTAACAAATGTGAGTCAATATAGGAAAACAAGTGATCCTCATAATCACAGTGGTACGAATGCGAGAAAGCTCCCCATCCACTCAGCACCCACCTGCCAGACACCTGTAAACTGTCCATCACTTTTACTAGGAATACAGACGGTTTCAAGGAGATTAATGTTTTAAGCAAGTAAATAGGACAACAGATAAACACAACGTGAGTGTTTCCACTTCATCCATACCCTGCAACAAAATCCAGCTCTAACTAATGAAAGCAATGAAGAAGAATTTACTAGGCCAAGACACTGGGGTAGCTCACAAAAACCCAAAGAAAAACTACAGGAATCAGGACTGCATCCTTGCAAGACATCCACAAGAGAAAGATGCTCTTCTCCCAGCCTCCATCTGAAAATCTCTGACAGGTGTGTCTGACTGGCTGGGCTGGGTTACCTGCCAGCAGCCTGGACCAATCTGTGTGGCCAAAGGAGCAAGGATCTCATCAGAAAATAGGGTAGAATGTGGGTAGGGCACAAATAGCCCACAGGGGGAAAGCCTCATGATACTAATAAAAGGAGATCAAAATAATTTATCAGCATGTTCTAGGGTGTATTAAGAAGGCTATTAATTTAATTACGGGGCTTAAAGGACGTACAGAGCACGTGACATGGAAAGGTGAAGAACAGCTTTCCAGGCAAAGGGACGGTGAGTTAGTGTCTTTTATCCTGCAGGCAGCAGGGACTTTTCAGAGGGAAAGAGGAGAGACTGTTGGGGACTAACAGACGTGACAGGATCTAGTGGGGTTTACGGTGAGACAACAGAGCACACGGCGTCTGGTCTGCCGCAGAGACTGATGGCAAGAAAACCGGGTTGAAGGTTGTTGGAAAAGTCACAGTGACAGGTTATAAAGGGGCTCAGAGAAGGGGGAGGAAGAAGAAAACTAAAAGCCTTCAGCTCCAGCTTTTCTGAAAATCTTTTCCTGTTCTGTTTTTTACAACATTAACAACACAACAAGCCCCAGAATGTGGTCTTACATTATCCAGCCCATTGTGCATGTACAGTGAGTTGCAAAATGGAGACAAAATTTAAGACATTTTAAATGACAAAAAAGAACATTTTCTGCTAAATGATCTTCCCAAATAGAGACACTTAATATAAAGAAATACCCACTGCAGAAGGTACCGGTTCAAAGCAGCAAGGCTTATTTTAACTTCTGTGCCTCAACCAAATAATCGCCCATTATCAGCACTCTAAATAGGTTTCCTAGCAATCCCAAGTATTTCTCCCAAGTGCATGTCATCTTTTCAGTTCCCTGCTAGTGTTCTGAATTCTCTGGCTTAGCTGCTGGCTATAAATAGGACAGTTAGTGATTTGTTTCAGCTATGTCCCCCCCCCACACACACACACAAACACACACACCCTAAATTAGAAAACGCACACGTTTTTAATTCCTTAATCTCCTCTAAGGTACTCCTTTTATTTTCACAAGCGTCAATTTTAGATAATGGAGATGATCACGTACCTGCATATTCATAGAACCACTCTAAGCACCTCTTACTGGAGAAGGCTTCCTCTTCAGTCTTGATTCTAGTGGAATCGTACTTTCTATACATGCTAGAAATTGAAGAAGCAGTTTTAAGTTACTTAAAGATAGTGAGTTCTTTTAAGCAGCAGATAATTTTTATTCTTTTACCCAAATCAGTATCAATCAGTATTTTAAGTACATTTTAAACATTTTATTTCCTGCAATTTACAGCCTTCAGCTGTTCTAACGCCAGTGCTTAAACACAATCATCTCTCATACAGAATTAAATGGTAGGCACTTAATACAAGTTTCTCCCTGATTAACAAAGCAGCAGTGAAATGTGAATGGAACAGACATGTGCTGTACTCCCTCCCCCCTCACTGGGCAGAACCAACGACAAAATGACAGTGACACATAGCAAGGAACGTCTCGGTCTACTCTCAATTAATGACCCTGAAACGCACTGTCGTCTCTCCACTAAGTTCTCCTGACTGTGTCTTCCATGTCAGGTTGGGAGCAGAGCACAGTCTAAGGAAGAATCAACTCAAGAGATGATTAAGCAAATAAAAAGAAACATCAAATCATGCCCAAGCTTCCAGGGAAAAAATAAACTCAGGTGTAACTTTGACAAGAGAAAGAGTCCCTTGGATGGTTTCTTGATTAGTATAAGCTTAAAAACCTCAGGGGACCGGCTTCGGCCTTTGTGGTCCAGGCCTAGCCTTACGGCCACTCCTAGCACAAGCTGGAGAACTGAATCAGAAAACACAGCAGCCCCTCCCGCCATCCGCGACCTTCCCTAGGAATTCCTTATTCCATGATACCAGGGGCTGAACACAGATACTCCCTGTGCAGAGAGGGGAGAGTGTGGCTTTAAAATAATGGTTTGGAAATGAAACTAAGCATATATGTTTTTATATCCCTTATGTATACAGGGTGGCCATGAAGTTCACGTGCAACTTTAAATAGTTGTAACTTGGTGTCTTACCAGTCAGGCCAGGCACAGAGCAACCTTTCTCTCATCAACCTTAAACCTGAATTTATTCTTTCCCCCTGCCCCAGAAATTTGGACATGATTTTTATTTGCTTTATCATTTCTTGAGTTGTCTGATATTGGCATGATCTAAATAGACTATTTATATAATAGTCTAATATAATAGTCTAATTCCTTAGACTAACTAAAGTTGCACACGAACTTTATGGCTACCCTGTACGTAAATTACCCAGTTATGTATGTAAGCGTTTAATAAATATACTTTTTATATAGTATGCAAGATATAATAAAAATCATATACGGTCACCACTCAGCATACTCAGGGAACTGGAAACAGAACCCTGGTTATAACCAAACCCACTCAAGTCCTCTTTAAGGACCCATGTATATGAAAAGTCATCACCCTACCAAGACTTTTAATCCACGTTTTGGTTTAAAAAAGTCTGCATGTAAATGGAACCATGCCATTCAAACCTGTGTTGTTCAAGGGTCAAGTGCATAATTCTTTTCTATTGAATATTTATTCCTGACATAGACATTCACCAAATTACCAATATGCACCTCTAATTAGAAATACTGGGTTTTAACACCCAAAAAAAGGATATTAGATGTAAACTGCTACCTGTAAGTTTGAAAGAAAGGTGAAAACATACTACCTGGAAACAAAAATGTATGTTGGCAAGGGCTCAAACCAATATGCCCTAATCCTGGGCCTAGACATTTCTATCTCAGCTCAAAATTGGTCAGGAGCCTGGAGAACTATGTAGGACACCGTAATATTTAAATTTAAAATTTCTCTACATAAAGAAAAGGCTAAGACCATATAACGGAGCATCACTCAACAAATAAAAGGAATGAAATCTGATACATGTGCTTATCTACTTGGGTGAGCCTCAAACACATCATGCTAAGTGAAAAAAGATATAAAAGACCATTTATATAAAATGCCCATGAAAGGCAAATCTGTAGAGACAGAACATGGACTAGAAGCTGCTTGAGGCTGGAGTAGAAAAAGGGCATCAGGGATCTGAGTGGGATGATGAAAATACTTTAAAACTGGCTTGAAGAGATGGTTTGCACAACTCAATTAACTTAATAAAAAGCACTGACCTGTACATGTAAAATGGATTCACCTAATGGTATATAAATAGAGTTGTTTAAAAAAAGACCAAGACTGAAACTCGGAAACTACAATTCAACTGCCTAGTTTTAAATCCAGCTTCATCATACTCAATTATATTAGCCTGTAGTGAAAAAATAGTAAATGTTAGATAGTCACAAAACACTACGTGATTGTTAAAATTTAACAATTCTCACCACCCTAAAAGTGTCAAGTAACCCAGCATCTTAAAGTTGAAAATCACTAGTCAAATGATTGCTGGTGATTATCTTCCAAATCACAACTGGCTTCTTTTAGACAAAATTTTCTATTCATTTGAGATTTAAACAGTGACATCACATTTACATTTTCAGAGTCCATCTCTCCATCCCTCTGACCCACTTGAAGTATATAAAGAATCACAGCAAGAAAGAAACAGAAAATCTCATCTAAATTTCCTGGATTTATATATGTGGAATTCGGGGCCATTAGTGAAGTGACCCACAAAGACAGGACAGAGAAAGATGGAAGAAGGTAGAAAACTTTGGACTGTGATGTCTGTTCACTGTTTTTAATTATATGTGGTTTTTTGTTGGTTTTTTTTGCAGTTTTTGGCCAGGGCTGGGTTTGAACCTGCCACCTTCGGCATATGGGGCTGGCACCCTACTCCTTTAAGCTACAGGCGCTGCCCTGTTGTTAATTATTTAAAAAAAAAAAGAAAGAAAGAAAACTGTGCTGGGCATGGTGATTCGCACCTGTAATTTTAGTACTCTGGGAGGCCAAGGTGGTGAATTGCTGGAACTCAGGAGTTGGAGCCCAGCCTGAACAAAATGGAGACCCTGTCCCTACTAAAAATAAAAAACAACTACCTGGGCATTGGGGCAGTCTCCCCTGGGCCCTGGGGCAGGCTCCCCTGGGCATTGGGGCATGGCCTTTTTCTACTCCAGCCCTCAGCTGCTTGGGAGGCTGAGGCAGGTGGTTCACTTAAGCCCAAGAGTTTGAGGTTGCTGTGAGCTACAATGATGCCATGTTACTCTATCAAGGGCAACAGAGTAAGACTCTGTTTCCAAAAAAAAAAAAAAGGAAGGAAATTACTTATTAAAATCAAGAGTTTGATACAAAGATACCAAAAATAAATAAATCTAACAGGCTTCTGGAGTTATCAAAATTAACAATTCACTCATCTGAAAGAGAAGTGATTTAAACAGTCTTGTTTTTCAGTTTCTACCAAATTCTCATCCATCTGAGAATGAACCTCAGCTCAGCTGACATTCCAGGCAGGTATAGAGCACTGAGTCCAGGCAGCTCCTTCAGCCTTGTGGCTGAAGTGAGGGAGGCTTAAAGAACAGAGACCAGGGCAGCACCTGTGGCTCAAGGAGTAGGGCGCCAGCCCCATATGCTGGAGGTGGCAGGTTCAAACCCAGCTCCGGCCAAAAAAAAAAAAAAAAAAACTGCAACAACAACAAAAAAAAGAACAGAGATCAATTCTGTGGTCACTGACATGGACAGGCAGCCAGGCTTTAAAAGGAGAAAAACCAACTGTACGATAGTTTTGGTCGGTCAGTAGATTAAAACTTTAACCTCTAAGAGCTCATTACTGAATTTGTTATGTTTTATAAACCCAGACACAAAATAAGTATCATTAAATAATTTGAAATTGCCTGGCAGAACCAAAGCAATATTCCAGCAGACATCCGCACACTTAGAAGACCCACACTGGATCAGGAAGAAACATGCATTTTCAACACGCTTGCCATCAGCTTTGATCTGCTGTCTCTGGGCCGTACCTATCATGTCTACTTTTCTTGGCAGATAAATCATCTCCAGAGGCAGGTCTTCTCTTTTTCCTTGGCGGCATCACTTTACTAAAGCAGTCTGTAGAACTGCAAGACCGCAGACTTCCTGCAAAACCAATCACAGAGCAGGGAGTTACGGCAGAGCACTCCCCAAGACGAGTGTTGCTAAAGGAGAGATTTTCATGGCTTGTTCTATAAAGGGGTTAAGACGTTATCTGTAAATGCTACAAAAAAGAGAGAAAATGGTTTTTAGTTCCTCTTTGGAAAAATGTTATCATCAAGAAATAAACCTCGCAATGGCATACAAACAGTACTTTCCACCAACTCAAATCCCACCAAAAGCAGAAGTTATCACAATTTCAATTTACTCTCCCAAAATACTAACATAAATCATCTACGCTTTGTGCCGCTCGTACGTGTCAACGTTCCTTCCAAAGGAACCGCACTGTCTCGCTGGTGAGGCCTGTCAGGAGGCGAGGGCAGGGCGGCCGGCAGCCCCGACTCTAAAACACACATAAGCACATCAGCCCCAACACTCGTAAGCATCAAGGGCTATGACTTAAAAGAAACAAAAAACAAAATAGGATTTGGACTTTGGGGGCAGAAGACTGAAGCAATTTTGAGCAAAGTGTCTACAGTGATTCTCTCCCTTGTTTCTGCCAGTTGAAGATTCTGCCATTTTCAGTGAGAAGTGCAACTTTCATTCGGTAAAAGACATTAAAACGTAGTAACAACAGATAACAGTAAGGTGTCAGACACTTCCTGGGACCTCATGGAGAGCCAGGCCCTGCTCTTAACACTTGTGGGGACTAAGTCCCGTCAGCGCACGGCAAGTCTGTGAAGAGAGAATCACGACTGTCTCACGCAGATGCAAAGTGGGGGCAAGTGGTCAACCTGGGATCAAACCCAGGCAGTCGCACTTCCAACTGTTCCACACCACTGTAAGTTACAAGACAATTATCAGGCCATTAAAAGACCCCATCCTGGCACAAGTGTCATCACATATTACGTCACTCAGTTCCACAATAACCCCGAACAGACTAGGCAAAGATATTATCTCTGCTTAACAGATGGGAAGAACTAAGGTTTAGGCTTCACGTGACCTTTCAAGGTCTCAGGAGTAAGAAGAGGTGAGTTCTGGGCCCACATCTCTTCCTGCATCCGCCTGTGGTTGAAAGGCCCTAGGCTCTCAGGAGCCGGGGGCACAGGAGAGCGCAGAGGGGGCTGGGGTCTGAACGACCTGCAGTCCATGGCAGGACCAAGGTCCAGCTCCCCCCCACCCCAACTACGTGCCTCAATCACTAACCTGTGTGGGGCCTGTCTTTCACCATCTGAAGATTAAGAACTATGATATCTACCTCCCGAGATTTCTATGAAGAGAAAACATCCGTTCAGTGAGTGTTTAGGTGCTGAGCGCCGAGTGTAGGTGCCAGTGACAAAGAGAAGCAGCACTAGGACCTGTGCGGAGGGAGGTGGCCCAGGCCCTGCTCACTGACTCTCACGACACAATTCTCCATCACGAAGGCAGTGCTGGCCTCCCTGTTTTTACAAACAAGGAAACTGAGGCAGAGAGAGGGCGAGCAGGTGATGTTGAGTGTGAATCCAGGCAGCCAGCAGCAGAGCCCCAGGTCTCGGCCGTCAACGTGGAAAGTGAGAAACAGAGAACTAAGGACACAGCCCTGGGAGTGTCAAAGGGATAAGAAGAAGGTCAAAACTTGGGCAGGGAAAAAACCCAGGAGAGTGTAACAGCCGGGGAGCCAAAGGAAGGATGTCAGGGAGGGAGTGTCCAACTGCAGCCCAGGCCAACACATCAGACTCAGCAGGGAAGTTCAGCATCAGTGGACTGGCCAGACGGGAGGCCGGACTGCTGTGCCTGGGGACGGACCTGAGGGAGCCAGAGGACACAGGGAATGTGGACAGCTCTTTCCAGATGCCTGCTCTGAAGGCAAAGTGCTGTCAGTAGCAACAGTCACAACCTGGCTAAGAGCAAAGATCAGGGCTAGAATCTGAATCCCAGGTCACATTCAGGCTGCTAAGTCCCCAGACTGATGCACTTCAGGGACACACCAGTTGAAAGCATCCTTTCTGTTATAAGCCAGGACCATGGCCCAAATGAGGATCCTACCCAGGGCCTTGGACTGGAGAGCACACAAGCTCGAGGACCCTGCTTGCCCCTTCAGCACCGAGCCAGGGTCCCAACAGGTTTGAAGTGAAGGCTCTCGGCTGCCCTCTCCAGGAGGACCAGACTCTGTCTTTCCAAGGGTCGGGGTAGGGGACTCTTCAGACACACAAGGCACCCCCATCTCTCCTTCCCAGAAATGCCGTGACAAGCAGAAGAGAAAGAGCCAGAGAGAACGCTGCCCACCACCCCACACCCCAGTCACCTGCTCTGAAAAACGGTGCTCCAAGCACAAATACGAACGCATCCTAAACAGTCCAAGGAACTGTGGACTCCAGCCCACGGCTTGTTCTCCTCTGTCAATGCCTTGGGATGAGGTTCGCAGAATGAAGACGTGCGCTCCACCCAGAGTAAAGCCCCCTATGCTGCCCAGAAGTGAAGACCACCCAGAGTCTTGAGGCTTCTCCCTGGACGTGTGCACGCCAAGGGCCACAGTCAGCTTGGTTCGGAGCACCTGTTCTGGCAGTAAACTCTCCTTTCCAAAAATACTTGCACAGCACAGAGAAAAATGCACTTGTCTCCTCAGTCCATGGGAAGAGGAGCCCTGTTTAAAATGACGTCTTCACCAATCCTCCCAGTCAAAGTCCGTTCACCAGCTCCTCTACTGCCTGCCTCCTCAGACTAACACTGAACCCTACTTGGCCAGCGCAGTTCGGTTTTGGATAAACAGACCAACATAAGTTAACCAACTTTTTCAACTTTCTATTATTTTATTTTCTTATCGATGCATGCTTTCTATTAAAAGTTCTTTGTGAAAGTTATTCATGTTTGAAACCCAAACCATCCCACATTTGGCAACTTATTCTTTCATTTATTCCAAGTGTTTATCTCCTAACTAAGAAGCACGACTTTGGGATCTTTCCACGCTAACCCTCAATCAGGAGACTCACGTGAGAGACTGTTAGGGACGACCATTATCCACAAAGTAACTATCTGTCCGCCTGCCCTGAGGTCCATCTCTATTCAGGCACTGGGTGACCCTGGCGGCCACCTCACAAGAAGCATGAGGTTAACTATGACCCAGGGAGAGGGGACCCAGGACCACGCGGCACAGCTCTTCAAGGCCTAGCCACCCTGGACTCCACGGTGGTAGTGTGAAGTTTCAGGCTAGATAAAAAGTAATTTTTTAATGCTGAAGAAAACAAATTTGCTTAAAATAATTTTCCATCATGAACTCAATCAAGAGAACCTGCCACTCAGCGTGTCTGCCCCAAACCTGCTGTACTCCCACCCCTCCATGACCGGCTCCAGGGGCCTAACAGCAAGACAACAACTGAGATTCTGTAAGTTCATGTACAAAGGTATAAAGGACCCTCCAAAGGGGTCCTCTTTGGTGCACCTGTCCATCCACAGCTAACACAGTATCTTACTACAGTACTAATCAGACACGCAGAGTCATACTGTATGTGCTTCATAAATACTTGTTGAATAAACACGTTCCAAAACACATGTAACTCAAATAAATCAAATTCTGCTAACAAATCAGTACATTTCCTGAGAATTAAACCACCTATGAATAGATAATACACCATTGTTTGAGATTCTTCCCTCCAACTTCTCGTTAAAACAAACACTTTAGTTTCCTGGCAGGTAAAAATTTTTTTAAACACAAATATTTAAGGATTGTGAATATGCAAATAATAAATGTTATAGAATGTTATCTGCGTCAGAGGATCAACTACGTACCCTTGAAAAGCTGCGTACTTAGGTACAAGCCATCTGACAGTGCAGGTAGAGGGGAACGTTAAGGTTGAGGATTTCATGTATTATTAAGTATAATTACAAAGCCCTTTCGAAGTTATCTTCTGTATCTTCATAAACCTGAGAGGTGTTTCTAGGGTTCTATAGTAGACGGGGAATGACTCTAAAATCACCCCATCATTAAAAGCCCTTTCTTAATGATGTGTTGTTTACATCATCTTTAGGAAGGTGATAAAATTTATATGTAGTTTTTACCCAATACTTATGATTTGAGTTTGGGTTCATTTCTATTCAGTGTTTCAAGAGAAATTAAATATTTTTTATTGACTCCATCTGATTTCAAATAAATCAATGAATACAGACTTTCTTCCCACATTAAATACAGAAATACTGCCAACATTTTTTGACAGGCATATCTGCTATTTGTCACAGAAAGTCCATTTTATTTATTTTTTATTAAGTCATATAGACATAGATCATGAACACATTTGTACCTTTGTGGATTCAATGTGTTGATTATCTATCTGTACAAATTGGAGTGCTTACATCCTCCTAATTAACATAGCTTTCACCTCATTTACTTAATCACAGTGTTAAGACATTTGTGTTTAATACTTGATAGATTTGACTTGTACCCTTGCAATATGCTCCATAGGTGTGGTCCCACCATTAACCCTCCCTCTATCAAACCACCCCCCTCCCTTCCCTTCCCCGCCCACTCCCCTTCCCTCCTTCATCCTGGACTATAGTTGTGATTCATCTCTCATATGAAAGTGTGAGTGATTATAAATTGGTTTTATAGTAGTACTGAGTACATTGGATATTTTTTTTCCATTCCTGAGATACTTTACTAATATTTTCCACTTCTATCCATGTAAACATAAAAGAGGTAAAGTTTCCATCCTTTTTTAATGCTGCATAGTATTCCATGGTGTACATATACCACAATTTATTAATCCATTCATGGGTTGATGGGCACTTGGGCTTCTTCCATGACTTGGCAATTATGAAATGAGCTGCAGTGAACAATCTGGTGCAAATACCTTTGTTGCCAATTGTTTTTTTGTCTTTTGGATACATATACACCTAGTAGAGGAACTGCAGGATCAAATAGCAGGTCTACATTTAGATCCCTGAGTGTTCTCCAAACTTCCTTCCAAAAGGAACGTACTGGCTTACATTCCCACCAGCAATGTAGAAGTGTTCCCTTTTCTCCACATCCACGC